CTTATCCAGCTCAACACAGGACAACTCTATTGTGTGCTCTATTGACAATAATGTAATATCTTGTCTTTCTTTATATTTCACTGAATTGTTAACTAAAATTAGGCTACCACCATGTATCATTGTTTGACGGCTAAAATAGTTTCCAACACAATAGTTTTTAAAATTTATAGATTCTACTTGATAATCCTTCAGCCAATGTTCAGTAATACAAACAATATCATAATTAAATTTTTCTAAAAATAATTCAATTTCTAGAGATTTTGATGAAAAGCCCTGCATATTTTGATTAAACAATGTTAACAACTTTTCTTGTTTATTCTTCTTATGTACTACTTTCATAGATTTAGACTTATATATACTGCCAGAAGATACCTTAACAATGCATGGAACATTTGTAACATTTAATTGTTTATCCTCTGTTGTCTTATTATTTAGTTTAAAAAGTTATCCAGAGTACCCACATTTGTCATCATCAAATCATGAGTCTCTTTCGTACTATCATAATAAGTACAGCTAATCTCTATATTATTAGATTGTCTACATAATATAGATCCGTCACTTAAACTATTATAAACTAAATTAATACTATTTGCTAGCAAACTAGCAAGTAAAACTTTACATTTTCTAGGAATAAACATGTATTCCTTGGTCAAATTAAAACCACTAACAAATTTGTTAGTGTCAAAAAATAATAATTTGTCTTTATGACAACATGTCAGCATAGTTATCAAGAAGAAACAATGTATCAAATGTAAATGTAGTCCTTTCGGCTGTCGCAGAGAACCTAACGGGTAACCGGGGCTCCGGCTCGACGTGCAGGACAAGGAACGGGATGGTTTTTAGTCAGTAAAAGTCTGACACTCCCTTCCGCCTCACCCAGGCGGGAGGAAAAATTCGATGATTTTCCCCCCTTAAAAAAAGTCCTTTCGGCTCTTTGGATACCCTCATACGACTCGAACAAAACTTACCTACTTATGAAAGTTTAAATCCACAGAATCTGATATAATCACAAATCCCACGGTGTGATGTCCCACCCATTTCTTTCTATTTACTTTATGAATTAAAATCTAATTAAAAGTTTTATAATTGGTGACGTGACGTGATACAAACATACACTTTGAAGGTGACATTTTGACATGGATCGTGTTAGCTTTGAGATTTTTGAAAGGATTTTGGCATATGTGTTAAGCTTATTGAGCATTTTTGCCGTTTATTATGAAACCTTTAATATTATGATACTTATAACTATTTCGTTTTTGTATGACTACACTGAACAGCTCCTTGAAACGACTAACTGTAGACCCTAATTACTTCGGCCAACTTAAATCAACCAACTTGACTTTGAGAGTACTACCTTGTCTCAGAATATCAGCGTGAAGTCAGGTATGGAAGAGTCTTGCTTCGGCACGAATGGGCCGGCTCGGCCGGAGTGATAACACGACCTTACAGAAAACTGACGTGAAGCAACGCTTGCGGCGTATTTCGTCATGCACCCCCCCCCCCCCCTTCCCCAGTCATCTTGATACTTTGACGAATGTGGACGAATTTTTTGATGCTGTGTAAATAGACATTTTTAGTTTTTTTTATTTAACTATCTTAATTTGTTTATATTAAGTTGTATATATTTATTTAATTCCTTGTGTTTATATATCATGTAAATAATTTTTAATAAATAAAATAGTAATGAGTAGTTGATAAAAAAAATAGTATGTGACACGAAAGTTATAACATAAACATACTTATTATAATAACTATCGTGAAAAATACTAAATTAACTAAAATCACGGGTTACTCACAATATACTGAGAAAAGCTCTACTAGTTTCGAACCACAGAGGGGTTCTTCCTCATGAGCAGCGTGCGCGGTCGCGGCGACGTCGCGCAACTCACTGAGCTGAGCTTTGTTAATAAACATACTTAATCATTCCTAGAATGCTGATCTATAGAGACTTCTTTACATAAAGCATTTTATGAAACAAAGAACCTAATCCTAAAGAGAAGGATCACATGTTAAACCTTCATTTAGCTAAATATATCGTAATGTATTATGTTTTATACCGAACATTAAGTTAAGTACTACTATTGTTACTTAGATACACTCTATACTTACGCCACTTTTATGCTTAATCCTTACTTATTCTCTTCTTAAATCTTCATCATTACGGATGGTAATGTAAATCATTACTGGAAGTATTTATTTAAGTATAGAGAGATAAATGTTCTTGGTGTCATTAAGCCTTTTATTAGGTATACTTAGATAAGTATCAAGATTATTATACCTCTATTATCTGTTATCCAGATTCTAGCCTACCTGAGGAGGTAGGCTAGAATCGGGATCGCGAGAGGGCCGATCCTGCTCGTAGAAGGCGTCAAGAACGCAACCGCCTTGACGCCTAAAGTCATTGCACACCTAATAAGCTAATGCTCTTAGCATTAAGTTTTCCTTATGCAATTGTAAAAAACTTGAATAAATACGGCTCAAACGCGGTTCTGGGTTCAGCGTGGTTTCGAATGTGCCTACCGCTAGCCGCCAGTGGGCTGACGGCGCGTCGCCCACGAGTTGTAAGCCGCGAGGTTAATTGCTGGAGCCATGCTTGTTAGGTTAGCGATGAAATCTCGCTTGTATCAACTACAGGCGGACCTTGTGTCCACCCAGTGGCCAGGGAAGTCGGTAACATAGCGGTCACATGCTGCGGGGCATAATGAGGTGCAAGGAAACGTCTCCCTAGGGATGTGTCGGAACGAGCGTTCCACCAGCCCTCATCTAGCAATTTAAAGATTGACGTGTTAACGTGTTAGTTTGTAACCTATTTGCAGAAATAAATATCATTTTATTTCAGAACAGAATTAATAAAGGACTCGGTGTTCTTTTCTTTGCTGAAGGTGACCACCGGGGTGGTTTTAGTGAGGTAAAAATCTATACCTATTTCTGATGCGCGATATCGCCGCGACCGCGCACGTTACTCATGAGATAGAGTCCCTCTGTGACTCGAAACTAGTAAAACTTTTCTCAGTTTATAATTATTGTAGTTTTTAGGGAACAGAGAGTATAGTTCCCTAAGATCGAAAAAGGAGGATCCTCCGACCAGGCGAGGTAATCGTGCCTGGCGGGCTTTCTTTAACTACTACACTACGCTTGCTCAATGCAGGTTGGCGATTTCAAACTTATAATTAGAATTTATAAGCCCAGGTTTCCTGATGTTTTCCTTTACTGTTTATCAGCAGTGTCTAGATAATCTTAGAAAGTGCATATAGCTCGGAAAAGTCACATTCGTACTTAACTTTGGTAGGTTTCAAACCTGCACCCTTATGCATGAGAAGCGGGCGTCTTAAGCCTCCGGGCCACCACGACCTCCTCGCTCGGCCTCACAAAATATTTTTCTAATTTAGTAGGTAAATGGGTCCCATAGAACTAAGTGGCTGTTCATCAAATCTCCAGAATTTCATATAAAAGGGTGCAAAGTGGGGGATTTTGTACGTTTTATGGTATGTTATACGGTACCCATTATGTACTTGTATGTAGGATGAGTGTTTTATTTTGTGTCGCTATTGTTTAAGTAATGTGTTTTATTAAAGGTTATTTCAAGATTGTCTCGGTGGTGACGTAGGTGCAAGAGCTACTCAAGAGCAAGAAATTTTGGGCTCCATTGTGAGGTAGCGGCTTTTTGGGGTTATATCGCTTATTCGAAAATTTCTCAGTTACAACACAGAGTCTAAAACATGGTGCTTAAAATATTATTATTAAAAATTGAATATGTTAAGGTAATTATAATAATCTTATTTATCACTTCAACTTTAATCTAATCTTAATAAATATGTTGTTTACTTCTTCAAGTTGCAATTATAAAATATCTACAAATTAACAAGAAATATCAATTTGTATAATTGGTAATAGAGTGTATTATTAGCTCGGTGATAAGTGTGGGAGAGCCACGCTTCGGCACGAATGGGCCGGCTCGACCGGAGTGATACCACGGCCTCACAGAAAACCGACTTGAAGCAACGCTTGCGTTGTGTTTCGTCGTGTGAGTGAGGTTACCGGAGGCCCAATTACCCTCCCCTTCCCCAATCTCCCCAATCCCTGAATCCCCAACCATCCTCAAACTCCCAATCCCCAAAAGGCCGGTAACGCACTTTTAACTTGTAAATTGAGTCTCCAATAATCCTCAATTCCTAATCCCCAAAAGGCCGGTAACGCACTTGTAATGCTTCTGGTGTTCCGGGTGTCTATGGGCGACTCCGATTGCTTACCATCAGGTGATCCGTCTTGTAATTTACCGGCTAATCCAATAAAAAAGGAGGAATAAAAATAAAACATCGTTGCCACATTGTATGTATCTAACCGTTTAATAAATACACAAAACATTCTTATTTCATAGAGACAGTCAATTTCTACATATTTATTATATAATATAATAAGTTAATAATTATTTATAATCGGATCTCGATGGTAAACTTATGCTAGCCAAACATTTTTTTTTTTTATATTATTAGGAAGTAAATAACAAGGAGTTTTTATTTGAAAATTAGTTTCAGGTACCACAAGAATGAAATTTAGAAAAATTATATAAGGAAAAAAATATTTTACAGTTTTTTATAAGTTTTATACGACCTTTATATGATTAAAATTAAAATGTTTTCCAGCCTTTTTCCAGAAACAGATTATGAAAATATTTTTTATAAACAACAATTTTAATTTGTTTTATTATAATTTTGTGAAAGTAGTATTAATTGACAAGATATATTTTTTATATTATAATTATAATGTATCTACTATAAAAGATAAACGCGATCGTTAATGAAATATTATATTTATATTGAAATAAACTTGATTTTTAAATATAATTTTAACAAATAAACGAATTATGATTTCCTGAAATATTGTTATATGTTGTATAAACTTAGCAAACAAAAATTGTATAACTTTTATAGTTTATTTTAAATTATTTTATATATATATTAATTTAGAGTTATTATTTGAAAATCAAGTTTATTTTAGTACTCGTGAAGGTAGTTTAAAAGATTTGTTAGAGACTGGGTAGTATGTCATATATTTAATATAATTTATAGGGATTCAACGTAGTAACCATCGTCTGGGTTTTGCTGTGACCGCCTGTAGTTGTCCATCTGAAACAAAATAGGATGTTAGAAATCATTATAGCCCTTTTGGTCCCTAGATCTTATAGTTTGGCCCAATTACATATTTATGATCCTCTGCCTCGTTGGCCGAGTGGTCGCAAGTGCGACTGCCGGGCAAGGGGCCTGGGGTTCGATTCTCGGATCGGCCAAAGTATTACTGTGTTTTTAAAAATCTCAGTAGTAACATGGCGTCTGGAAATGTGCCCGCTATATGGCAATAGGCTCTCCCTCTATTACATGGGACTCATAACATAAGTAGTGAAAAGTGGGTGTTACATTGTACAGTAGTATTAAGTCCCGTAATGTGCAACTCTGCGTACCCCTTCGGGGATAAAAAGGCGGTGATGTTATGTTATGTTTCTTGATTGTCTAATATATTGTGTACGTATATAATACAAAATCACATGTCATATACAAGACAAATCATCAATAATTCAAGGGTTATAAAGGTTCAAACTTTCAAACATTCTCCCCGTCTAAGTCTCGGGCACAACTTCATTGACGCGGTACAAATATGAGAAGTTTTCACTTAACAATGCACTGCGCACAATGTACTGAACTCCAATTAAGCTTGTACAATTAATATTTCAATGTATATTGCATTAACTGTTTTGGTCGTGTTGGTTTTAAATGGGATGAAAATGGGTTTTCGGTTGTGAAAAATATTTACTAGTATACGAAAATTTTGTACATGGTAGACTTTCTCCATATTGTATGAAAATAGATGAGACACTAGTGAAAAATAAAATTCCTTCCGATAATATAACCGACTTCAACCCCCTCATTTTTTAAGTCATTTAATATAATTAAACCTTTTCCTAAATGTAATAAACAATTCTCTGATAACCGCATTAAAATCTGTTCATCATTTCGCGAGATACTCGCGCATAAACATGCATATAGTCAAACTGATAACGTCCTTTTTCTTTTTGAAGCCGGTTAAAGAAAATAATGCTTCAAACTAGGCTTCTTATCCATTATGCCTTAACACATAAAGTTCACATTCCAAGAGCAACATAGTAAAAGAAAGAACTTCCATCGTAGAGCAACTAATAACTTAGACATATCCACCCAATGTTACAATAGTCCTTTCAATCATCGTACCACAAGACAATCGGCGAAGCGTCACCGATTCATGGTAGAAGTTCCACCCACACGCACGAAGCACTTCGCTTCAAGCTTGCGTACTGCTAAAAAGTGGAATTCTTTGCCAGAGTCTGTATTTCCTGAAGGGTATAACCTGGGAGTCATCAAGGCCCGAATGAATAGGTTGCTTATGGGACGACGTGCTCCATCGTAGACCGCATCATCGCTTACCACCAGGCGAGAGCACCACCTAGCTTCACCTAGTTTCAGTAACGGACTGACTGACAGACTATTATTTATCCTGTATTTGTTGACGTTTCAAAAGTACCAAACTATGGTTTAAACTGTCAAACACCAAGCGGTCACCGGTGACCGCAACCTATTGTTCTTTAATTGTGTCTATAATGACGGTACTCAACGAGGTAATTGAAATAAATGCTTTGATTTTGACTTTGACTTTGAGATAGTGGTCAAACGTCGCCCCATCAAATATATATAAAAAAAAACAATAGGTAACTCACCCAATGTTTGAAGATGTTTCGGAATTTCATCTTCATTACCTCTCGGGCGCGCGCACTCTCCTCGTGGTCGTAAACACCTGCAGGCATGGATGGGTATCTAATATTAATTGCCGCTGGCTAGGATTACCTAAGACTGAATGTTTAAGTCATACTGTTGTCTTGTGTCTGTGAAGTTTGATTGGTTGTTTGTGTATGTTAATATTAGGTGAGTGAACACGTAAATGTGCATTATGAAAAACACATGAAACAAGAAGAATTTTTCCTGTGATGAGCACGACGATAGGTTGAAACAGAATAACATGAATATATCGAAAAATCTAAAGATAGCTACAGATATAGGATCCATGCTACTAAAATTTACTGCTGTCGTTGGCTGAGTGGTCGCAAGTGCGACTGCCGGGCAAGAGGTCTCGGGTTCAATTCTCGGGTCAGACAAAGTATAACAGCATTTTTAAAAAAAAATTCTCAGTAGTAGCACGGAGTCTGGAATTGTGCCCGGTATGTGACAATAGGCTCACCCACTATTACATGGTTACTTATAACATAAATAGTGAAAAGTGGGCGGTACAGACTATAGACAGTGGCATTAAGTGCCGTACTGTGCACCTCTGCCTACCCGTTCGGCTAAAAGGCGTGAAAAACTCAAGGGTGTGTTTGTAAATAAAAGTACACAGTCACATATCACGCCCTGAACCGGAACAACAATTATTTGTGGATCACAAAAAGAGTATGTCCTATCGCCAAAAAACTGGACTTAGATCCGATACAATAAAAAACAAAACATGAAAAAAAACTAAATTGTCTCTACGTACTGTCATCCTCACCTCCGTCCCTGATGGGGATGATGTCATCCCCTGATGGTAGCACGTTGTATCCGGAATGAGGGTACACAGGGTGGGGCGGCGTCTCCTCCTGCCCCAACTGGTGGCGCACCATCAGCTCCTGACTTGATAACTGCTGCACACAAATACAAACACAATGAGAAATATAATTAAACTGTGAAACACCGAGCGGTCACCGGTGACCTTAACCTATTGTTCTTTAATTGTGTCTATAATGACGGTACTCAAAGAGTTAAGCGATATGTGTGGTGTTGGATATGATGATGTCAAACTCAATATCTTTATTTGCATGTTAAGGTAATACATACAGGTCTTATGAAATAACAGGCACAGCTTAACGGCCTTTTTCAGGCGTTGCAAATTTTAGGGGTGTCACTAGCTTATTATAAATTACATTTGCTTAACATTTATTTTTTTAACATATTTATTGATTTGTTCGGAATATAGGTAAGTATTTAAGTATATAATATATTATTGGGTCGGTGTAAAATGTTAAATGTAAATGAATGTCATATAAATGATTATTTAGAAAGAAAGAAAGAAGAAAGAAACAATGTTTATTTGCTACAAAGTACAATAACACACAAAAAAATTAAACAGTAAAGACGTCGCAAAGAGGCCGGAGCTCAGCTTAAATTTATTTATTCATCGATATAGGCATACAATATATATCTCAACCGACTAATACCAATAATACATTTACATAGAGTTTCAAAAATTGAAAATTGCTGTTACACTATAACAAAGTTGTGGATCAAATTGGACATGTAAATGTCTAAAGATTCGTTTTCGTGATCAAATAATAAAAAATTTTGAAAATACTTTTTTTTATTTACATTCCTTTTGACAAGCGCTATCCCTAGTTACAGAGCGCTATCCCTAGTTACAGTCTACAGACCGAATAGAACCTCCTTAGATACGACAGGATACGAAGCGAGCGCTCCAAATAACGATTTAGAGTGCTGCACCGGTGCTATTGAGAGGACTCTTGCTAACTGGTGCACAATTAGGATGAAAACGATGTACATTCCTGTCACCTGGTAATTGGTGCCGTAGCTTGTATCTATCCCCTTTTACTTTAATGGCCAAATGCTTTCTAGTACCTGAAGCTGTTTAGGAATGTAGGGTTCTATGTAGGAATTGTGCAATCGAAAATACTGTCATGTCATAAGATACATAACACAACATCACGCCTTTTATCCCCGAAGGGGTAGGCAGAGGTGCATACAGAAGTAACACCCACTTTTCACTATTTATGTTATGAGTCCCATATAATAGGGGATGAGTCTATTGCCATATACCGGGCACATTACCAGACTCCGTGCCACTAATGAGATTTTTTTAAAAACCCAGTAGTACTTTGCCCGACCCGGGAATCGAACCCGAGACGAGACCCCTTGCCCGGCAGTCGCACTTGCGACCACACGGCCATCGAAGCAGTCATATGAATTATGTCATATTAATTTCTAAGAATTGTACAATCGATAAACTACCGATAACGCGAGCTGAAAATTGAAAGCGAAAGGTCTTCTTAGGCGTTTATGACCGATGATCAAAGTTATTCTACGTCTGTTCGTCCATCAGTCAAAAAAGAATTAACTTTATATAAAGAGCTTGTGTAAATCAAAATTAGTGCTAGTTTTGTGATTGTCTCGTTAGGCACGAGGACTCGGGTTCGATCCCCAGCTCGGGCAAACAGGGTATTACAGGGTTTTTAAACAAAATCTCATCAAATAATAGCACGGAGTCTGAAATTGTGCCCGGTATATGGCAATAGGTGCACCCCATATTACTTGGTACTCATAACTGTATCTATAATGGCACAAAGTACCGTAATGTGCACCTCTGCGTAAGCATAATGTTATGCATAATGTTATGTTATAAATTTTGTGACTATCACTAATCTACAAAAGAACCTAGTCGAACTGTATCTCCATTAATAAGTCGCATTAGTCATTTAGATTGAGTTACTCTTTCTATCTATCCGTCTTAACGTAACAGATAAACAAAACAAATAATGTCCAAACGTCACATGGTTATTTAATAAGTTAAGAGCACAAAACAAACAAAAGTTTGACATAAAACAATTGTTTAAACAAAGTAATATGTAACGTAAGAGCCCCTTGACGGGCATGCCTCAATTATAAAAGTTTCACTAAAAGCAACTGAAGTTTGTAATTAGGAAATATGGAGGTTACTATGTCCGGCATTAGCCATATGGATATGTCTCTAGTGATGTACTGGACACAGATTATTTTCGGCGGTGAATATAAATAATATTCGGCGAATATGTAGGCCGAATAGTCATTTTCACACGAGTTCAAATCTGACTCTTACGTAACTATGAACACTCAGAACCAGTAAAACAAAATGTTTTAGGGTAGAAATATGAAGATTATTAGCAGCGTATCACTATTTTCAAAATGTAGATGAAATGACGGCTGGACTTCAATTTAAAGTGTTAGCCACACTGTTAGCTTAGTCTCCAGAGAAATAGTACGCAACAATGTTAGACTTTAGTTGTCAGCTGGATAATGGACTTATAAACACACATACCTGTGTAGGTGGAAAGAGGTGAATTAAGATGAATAATTTTTATTTTAGTTGCTTAATATTTTAGTATCAAAACTATTTTACTACTATCCATCTATTTATTACACCACAATCCAATATTCGGCCTACACAATTCGCCAATACTTAAAATCGATACGACCATCACTAGTAGCAGTGTTACCGACGACGGTCATTAGTGGCTCTCAGTGGTCACCATCAACAATTTTATTAACCATCGGTGGCACGCAATGGCACGGAGATTTTAATTTGTGGTTTCCATTATAATGGCACTATCATTTACTATTAACTGTATGATTTCAACGAAGTGTAAAACTGTTAAGCTTTTAATATAATTATTACTGTTTATTTAATAATGTAACAAATAAACGCCTACTTGATAATGGGTGTGTTCTATTTTTGTTGAAAACAACTACCAATAGCTCTTTAGCTACGTTTGACTTTAAAAAAAAGAAATTGTAATAACGGTAACGCACTTGTAACACCTCTGGTGTTCCAGGTGTCCATGGGAGACGCCAATTGCTTATCATCAGTAGATCCGTCTACTCGTTTACCGATTTATCCCATAAAAAATACAAAGACAAGGTACAAGCGAATTTGTGTGTTCCTCTTTAAAAACTAGAGCAAAAATAAAGTAAACTTCACTACAGATCATTGTTGAACTCTTGCAAAATATCTTGAAGTTAATGAATTATTATTTTAGCAACTGCTGAAATCCTGGTCAAGCCGACAAGCTTACAACGTTTAGATTCAATAAAACTTTATATTATCATAACTTTCGCGAGACATTATACTAAATTATTATAATGTTTTTTGGCTTACTCACGTAATTATTTGACGAGGAACTCGACTAGTTTCAAGCCGTGCTAGGGGCTCATATTCATGAGCAGCATTCCGCGACCCGCGACGCTCTTTATCAAATAATTACGTGAATAAGCCGAAAACCATAATAATGAATAGTATAACTTCCATGTCCGTCACACAAAGAGAAAATAGGAAATAAGTGACTTTTTTTAAGGGGGGAAAATCATCGAATGACTGCTCCCGCCTGGGTGAGGCGGGAGGGTGTGTCAGACTCTTACTGACTAAAAACCACCCCGTTCCTTCTCCTGCACTTCGAGCCGGAGCCCCGGTAACTCGTTAGGTTCTCCGCGACTCCGTATAAATAAGTGACTTAGAAAACAAATTAGGTTCTATTGAGTTAGGGGCTAGGAATTCTAATAAAAGATTGTATTCTTGTAAATAATTATTTACTTTTATTTACTTGCACATACTTCTATGAAAGGTAAGAACAACAACAGAACGAAACAAAAACATAAAGTGTCACCTGGCAGAACTATTCAAAAACTAAACACTGTAAAGCAGCCAGTGTTATATTTTATTAATTCAATACTCCCACTAAAATATAACACTCTTCAAACAATAAACATATTTAAAAGAAACTATTCAATACAAAACAAAATATTATCTCTTAAAGTAATAAAAACCTGAGTTGGTAAAGTCTTAGTGAAAATATCTGCCAACTGACTTTTACTAGGAACATACTTAATTTTAATCAAGCCCAACTCAGCCTTCTCTCTTATAAAATGATACTTAATATCAATATGTTTAGTTCTTTTATGAAAGACCGGTTATTTATTAGTTTGATTGCACTTTGGTTATCAACTAGTAAAGTTACACATTTATAATCCTCACCTAAATCTACCAGAAGTTGTTGCAACCACAATACCTCTTTGGCAGCTTCACAGGCAGCAACGAACTCTGCTTCCGTAGTAAGAGAGCAATGGTCTTTTGTTTTTGACTGGACCAGGTAATTGGACCACCATTCATTATAAAAATATAACCCGTTGTAGACTTACGAGTATCAATATCACTAGCAAAATCTGAATCTGAATAACCAACTAAATCACCACCCTCTCCATACTTTATACATAAATCTTTAGTATTAATTAGGTATCTTATGACACGCTTCACAGCATTTACATGTACTTGACCAGGATTGTTTTACATATCTACTTAATAGACTCACAGCATAAGAAAGATCAGGTCTTGAAACAGAACACAAAAATAATAATGATCCTATAGCTTCTCTATAAGGAAAATCTATGATACCTTCATCAACATTTTTAGTTACAATTACATTTGGATCTGCTGGAGTACTTACTGGATAAGCATTTGACATACAAAATTTTTCAATAATTTGTTCTATGTAATCCCTCTGGTGAATATAAATATAATCATTTATTCTTTGAATTTCCATGCCCACATAATATTTTAAATTTAATAATTTTATTTTAAAAGCCTGCTTTAAATATTCTATTATCTCTTGAATAAGCAATTTACTAGCAGATATTACAAGAGCATCATCAACATATATTATTAAAAATATCTTAATATTATTAAACTTCCCAACAAAAATACAGTTATCAGCTTGAGATTGTACAAAGCCATATTTTAACAGAAAATTACTAAATCTTTTGTTCCAACAACGAGGAGCCTGCTTCAAGCCATACAGGGATTTATTAAGCTTTAATACACAATTTT